TATTTTTATTAAAACATAAGCAATGCACACCTTCTAGCAATGTAATTTCATTGCCCTTAATGAGTGTGTTGTGATGAAAAACACAGTGATTTTATTGCTGTGCAGGGTTTGGTGGAGGTGTGTTTGTCGGGCTGGGAAACATGATTTAAATTTCCTTCATTTTCAAGAGGAAAAATTATTCCCACTTGTAAAATCTCAAGATTCAAAGTACATGTTTACATATAATAAATCTGCATTCAGAGGCTTCACTTAAAACAGTATCTTCCTGATACAGTTCTTGAATTAGTTAAGAGCTACATTTATTAACATCACAGTACCATCACATAATATAACACAAAGTCCTTTTGAGCATTCAGGCCCAAAGGGACTGAATGCTGATATTACTGAGAACCACATGAAGAAAAATGTGCTTGCACAAATTGCATGGTGATTAAGAAGCAATACATTTTAATGTGTAAAATGTGAACTTAATATGGATAGAGAGGCTACAGCACGACTTCTTCAATTGAACGTCTACAAAGTTCAATACACTAAGTTGAAGCTACTATAGTGACTAATGCATAGATGATTTAAACTGAATTTTACTTTGCTGACTCAATAAGTCAAGATGGAAAGTCATTTTGAATACATGGTCAAAGTGTTGCAGGCATTTACTTTTTGTAAACGGAAAAATATACAAAATTGGATTTTGAATTTAATGTTTTGTCCTACAGTCTATCAAGCCTAAATGGTTAAAGTCACATGATAACATTTCCAGTGTTTCCAAACTGAATGATTTTCTCTGAATATTAAATGCGGATGACGGATCTATGAGTCGGATCTGAGATGAGGTGAGTCCATCAAAGCTGTCAGACAGCAGAAGTAACTCACTCAGATCATTCTAGTTTGTATAAATGATTCTATTTGTGATATAATCTGAAATTGCTCATGTAATCTGTAAAATAAATTTTGTACAGATGTTACTGGTTAACATGTAGATCAGTTTTATATTGTAAAGAAATATTCTTAATTGTTGTGTCTCGTGAGGGATCAATCACATTATTTTCTTAATTTCCTATCTGTGTCATCTAGTTTTTAATATTTGCTGTTAAATGCAACATAAGTGCTGATTTTCTGAATATTTTTGAAGTTCAGATCTCCTTGTTCTGGAAAACAAAAATATATTTCTAATATTATTTAATTAGTTTTTTCAGAGATTCTACAGAATGCTGTTATTACTCTGTGACAAAACTGACTTTTTGTCAAATTACCTGTTTAAGACTCACAAATTAAAGTTAAGAACTTGGCCTGGGACTTGCAGATGTTTCTGTTTGGGACTCGACTCTTGATAAAAACACTTACAGCTTACTTGCACTGCATCTGGTTTCTGTTTGCACCTGAGTCCAACCATAAACGGCACCATGATCATTATGATCATTGGTGTCATGGTTTTGAGGCAGAAGTTGTTGTTCTGTTATTTAGGTCAAGTTCTGTTTCAGAGCTGTGATGAGTTCTGAAACCTGTTAGACTGAAACTCTAACAGGTCATTACTGTTTAGATAATCACACACTTGATTAGCAGCTATTCTCTTCTAAAGAAGAAAGGAAGATTTGACACAGGCCTGTCATTTATTAAACCATCTTGTAAAAGAGAAAGTTTCCAAAGTAAAGGTTTAAATAAAACTACCTTAAAAGCTTGTGGGACATGCCCATGTATTATCATGGTATCAGTAACTTAAAATTGGGGCAGTGATCAAAGGGAATGTTTCCTTAAATCAGAGGTTCCCAAACTGTGGGGCGCGCCCCTAGGGGGGGCGCCGTGTCATTGCAGGGGGGGCGCGGGAAGCTGTCTGGATGAAAAAAAAAAAAAAACATGAACACTGTATGTGCTGGGTTTTTACTTTAGAATGGCCAACTCTTTGTTATTCCTGTCAATTTGATACAGTAGAGGCTTCCACACTTCCCATATTTGTGTCCTCTGTCACTTTTATCAGCAGTTAAAACAGTTTAGTCCGTTGTTAACATGTTGTAACCTGTTTTTCCGAGCCGCCTTTAAACGCAACATGCTCGCGCTGGGTTTCCACCTGTGAAGGAGACCAGCTGCTGCTGGGCGGAGCTACGTAGGTTTGTGTTAGAATCATGGCAGCAAACCAGCAAAACGCAAAGAACTTTTCACAGTTTTTCCCTCCAAACTAACCGACTGAGGTGAGTAAAGCTGCAGGTAATGTTAGCTAAAAGATGACTAGCTAATATCAATACAGAACCTTAAGCTTAACAAGTTACCTGTAGGCTACCGATGTTGGTGTCTATTTTCAGCTACGTACATTCATTTTGCCCCTAAAAAAGTCGATGCCCCCCCTCGTCACACGCATGGTTTCAACCAGACAGCCATTTGTAATCCATAGGGGGGGTGCAGAAAATGTTTGGAAACCACTGGGGGGGCGCAGAAGAAAAAGTTTAAACCACTGCTTTAAATAATTTGATTGAAACAGGATCCAACATTCAAGTCGAAGAGAGGATGAAGTTATCATGTTCATGAGGATGCCAATAATTTTAATTCTAATAGATTCTATTTTATTCATGAATAATCCCATAAAGTCATTACTGCTGAGATCTGGGGGAATTAATGACTCAACAGTTATGACTGTGTAAGTTTGGACTTGAATTTATCATATCTAACAAATTTCTCCTCAACTAAAGGTAAATTACTACATCATTAATCGTATGAAAAACACAATTAATGATTACAAATTATTAATGATGAAAAAAGTATTTTCTATCTTTTTATACCTCAGTGAACTGTCTATTCAGGTTAAGTTCTCTCTAGATGTGTAGCTCCATGTTCTCTCTGATCTCCTGTTCCTCATTAAAGTACATAACTCTAAATGAAACCAGGGAACCAAACTCTTATGATAATTAATATTATTAAAGGGTCTACTTTGACTAATGCCACACAAACATAACAGATTATTTGAAAGTTGTTACAGTATTGTCTGATAAAGATCTACTATAGTAAAATTTTCTCAGTACTCAATCAAAATCAACTCAAAAATGATTAGAAATAGTCAAACAGCCTAAGGTTATGGAGAAGTGCTGTTATTTCTTCATATCTCAGCACAAGATCTAAAACCAGTGGTCCTCAAATCCAGGCCTTGAGGGACCTGCAACTTTTAGACGTGTCCCTGGTTCAACACGCCTCAGTCAAATGGCTGAATCACCTCTTCAGTATGCAGTCGGGTTCTCCAGAGTCCAGATAGTGAACTCATTATCTGAGTCAGGTGTGTTGAAGCAGAAACACTTCAAAAACATGCAGGACATGTAGGACATGCAGGACATGCACTTCTCTCTTGGCAGTGGACGATTATTGTTTACAATGCAGGTACTTTACAGTATGCTTTACAGCATCAAACTGGTGGATTACATACGTCACAAGCAAACATTAGCGATGGATAAAATTTAAAACCTCAACAGGAAGCAAACACAGAGCCCAGAACTTCTGTACAAAGCAAATAGTGAAGAACAATGAGAAGGTTTTCACCAGGCTACTTCATAACTAACCCAGACGTTTTCTCTAACCCTAAACATAACAAGTTCAAGTCCAACCCTAAACCTGACATAAACCCAATTCACACGTTAGTCCTAAATCTGACCTGTAAGCCAAAAACAACAACACTTCTTACTGGGCCCAACCTTTGGACCCCATAAGCAGCAGTCTGTCCTCACAGTGTAGTATTTGTTGTAAAAATCCTCCTTACATTGCACTGTGTTCTGAAACACAAGGCCACCCACATGCATGCACGCACACACCCACACACCCACACACACACACACACACACACACACACACACACACACACACACACACACACACACACACACACACATTATGTTTCTCTACTTTCACCAAGACTTTGCATTGGTTTCCATTCATTTTTACATCCTAAGCCCAAACCTAAGCTCAGTTCACACCTTCATTCTAACTTAACTCATAACCCCAAAAACAGCTCTTCATCTCACAGATCCCACAATTTAGCATACATTATTACAGAGGCCCTTACAATGGATCAAATAAAAAGCCACACACACAATTATATGCTAAGAGTTGGCAGATTAAATTCACTAAAAAGGACTGATTCCCTGATGTCTATGTAATGTACCGGCTGGGGGATGTAAGGAGGTTAAGGGGATTTATAATAGGAATTAAAATGGGTGACTGTATAAGTCATATAGAAATGTGTACCATGTTCTAGTACACTGTAAGATACATATGCCACTATACAAGATTTGATATTATTTATGTATCATAATTGAACTCTGTGGAAGCCTGAGAAGACTTGAGTTAATTTATGACAAATATTTGAAAAGTATTTTAACAAACTTTCATCTGAAACATAAGCATTTGATTTATTAATGTTATACTGTGATGGACTTTTCTAAAAAATTGTCTGCATGACATGAATAATTCTCAAACAAGAAGCAGTATCAGCTGAACCCATTCTAATCAAATCATTGAGAGCTTCAGTGTGAGGAACCGGAACAGCTCACCACTTACAGTGAACACAGCAACTGGAGCACAGTTCACTTACAAACATCACACTGGTGGATTCTTACTGTTCACTCAATGGGGAAATTCAGCCTGATACTGGCAGTATTCTGCACTCTCTGTGAGTAAACCCACATTTCATTTTTTTTTTCAGAAACACAAATTTCTGGGTTGATGTTGGTCAGTTGATCCAATAGAACTGGAACCTGCTTTAACTTCGCTCAGGTCAGCTTGTTTAGTCTTTTTTTATGTTCTGTTGTCTCAGGTTGGGTCTCATCGTCAGTTTTTGACTTTCACACTGTGGTGGTTCAGCCCAGAAAAGAAGTCACACTGTGGTGCTCGAACTTTTCTGCTCTCCCCGTTCACATATTCTGGTACAAACTTGTTGACGGATCCAACGCCAGCTGCATCGCATCGATGTTCAGTTCTGAAGTTAACGCTTCGCTGCGAGAAGGATATGAAAATGGTAAATTTAACATGACATCCAACAGAACAAACATCTTCCTGAGCATCAAGCAGGTGGATGCTTCAGACTCTGGGCTTTATATCTGTGGAAATGGTAAAGATTTAGAGTGGAACATATTCAGTTCAACATATTTACAAGTTGAAGGTAAGATTCATGAATCTTTTTAGACATTTCGTTTTAAAATTGAGACACGTTTGAATTTTGAATCTGTCTTATGACATTGACTCATCCTCTCCAGTGGATGTGTTTGTTGAACCGTTCTGGATCCTGTGTGCTGCATCTATCTTCCTTTTAATAATCATCATCTGTCTGGTTGAAAAGATTAGGAGAATTCAAAAAGGTATTGAATATTCTTTATTAATGAAAATGCAGAAATGTACAAATACAGAATCCTTAAACTCTTAACCACCTTCAATGGTTTTCTGTTATTCAGCCCGAGCCGACAGTCAGAATCCACAACAGATCAAGGTAATTTCATTTTAGCTGTAATACCTCAGTATTATGAATGATTTGTTAAAGTCAGTGTGTTTGTGTTGACAGAATCCAGAATCTGATAACCTGAACTACGCAGCTCTGACTTTTAAAACCCCCAAAACTAAAAGAACCAGAACAGCAGAGGCAGAGAAAGATCTGGAGACGACCGTAGTGTACGCTGCCACCAGATAGACTCACCAAATGGAGCGATTTTACTGTTTTACTACGTTCATCTGTTTGTTTGTGGGACTTTGTGTTTTTTTTGAAGAGGGAATATGAAGTTGTAAATCTGTCCAACCATTGTTTTAATAAAGAGTCTCAATTTGTACATATTATAACTCTCACTCTCAGTCTTTTTTTAAGTGTTCACCGGAAAATAAAACTTACAAGGACATCAGATGAACAATGTGTGACTGACTGCAGTCTGTAGTGTCAGTGAATAAAGGTAGCGACAGCCACACTGCAGCACATAAACACAGTATGATAAATTATTAGACAAGTTACATTTTCAAAATTTCCTTTTTCCTTTTGGCTGTCTTTTTTATGGAGTTTCACTTTTTTGATCTGCTAACAATCAATATTTTGTGTCTGCTTCGCTGTAAAACTCCTGTTTAAAAAGTGTCCATAAACTCTCAGTAGGGTTTAGATAAGATCATAAAGGAGACCATGTCATTAGAATTTTATCTTTAAGGTCCTGACTGGCCAATCACACTGCTGTCTGCTCTGATGCATTCAGTGGATAATGGTTCTACATAAAATGATGAGTCTTTTGAGGATACAGATTTGATCTTGTAACAAAATGTCTTCTAAAAGCTAACAGCAGGTTTGGGAGGTGATTCTGATTCCAGCTTTAACCCAAAGAGGTCAAACTATCTCATGTTTTATAACAGCATGCTGGTCAGTCTCCTCTCATCACAACATAAATCCTTTCACTCATTTTATGACCCAGTCTCTTTTTTTTTTTTTTTTTTTTTTTTTTTTGCTCAACAACACATTTCACTGTTTTGATCACTTAAGGTTCGAAATTATTAACACCTCTGTTGATTTATGGTCAAAGTTATCTTTCAGTTTTATCGATGTTTCATGTCACTGTAAGTGACATCCTAAAGATTAGGGTAATGGCATGGAGGCCTTCAACCTCAAAGACTCATCATGTCATTAAAAAATAATTAACTGATCAAAAAACATGCAGCAAACTGTTCACTGAGCCTCGTCTTTCTCCTGAGCAGCAGAATTTAATTGTTTTCAAAAACTGAGAAGGGTACAAAACATTTTCAACAGGCCATTTTGTGACAAAATGTAAATCACAATAGAAAACTAAAATGTAATGGAATTATTGTGGGGTTGCTTAGCAGAAGGAGCTGATTCACCTCAGGCCCGGTGTTTTGAGTTGTGTCAGACCCACACTGACACTTTCAGCTGTGAGAACGTTGCAAAGTAATGCTTTTAACCACAGGAAGAGTGCACTTCAACTCCATGCAACAAAACCACAGCTTCACCAGATTTCTAGTTCAAGGATCCTCTGATTTAATGTAGAATATGCAAATACACCTTCATTTACTTCTAAATCACGTTGTGTTTTGAAAGTAAGTTCTGAGAAATGTCTTTCTTTTTTGTCATCTGATGAATCTTTCAGTTTGTGATTCCACGGAAAGTTATCTAACTACCTGTAACTAACTAACGAGGCTACAGAAAGGTAGCTAAGGTAGCTGCAGGGATGTGCTGTTCAGGTTCAGCTGCAGCTAATAACTGTTCATAATGGCTTCATAGTGTTGCTTATAGTATACCAAATATCAAACAAACTTAATGAAAAGTTTGTTTAAAATTTGATTTTATTATTTTTACTAATTTCTAATATTTCCAATTGCTGGTATTTTTCCAGATTAGGAAGTTGTGAAGTTCTTGCGGCCCAAAGATCATTTCCATGATCACTGATTTTAGTCTCTGTGCTTATCTAACTAAACTTTATCATCAGCTCATCAAGGGTTTTTCAGTTAAGGACAATAGTAGTTTACACAACTCAGAAGAATCTCATGAACTCAAAAGTTTATTGAAAAGTAATGAAACTCATATAAATAGGAAGTAAAAGTTTAGTGAAAAATGCAACAAAGATGCACCTGTTTATTCAAACCATGACATTTATTATCCATTCATTTTGGTTCCAATGTGTTTTTTTTCTAATTGATTCTTTATAAAATAAGAAAGATTATGAGACCAGATGAACCACAAACAATTCTAAGTGATCTCTCTCTGGCAGTAATGAGTTATTTTCTTCATATAACCACATTTGTAAAGTAGACTCTGACTAAGTTATGAAAAATACTTAGAAATGTTGGTTGTCATTTGTATCTTTAGGTCTGGGAAAAAATGAGACCTTTACATTCCAAATATGTTTCTATTAGAAAAAGTCGGGGACAAAATGACTAAATACAGCAGAAGTAGCCGTTATTTTCAATTATAGATCTTTTTCTTAGCGTTATGATCCGAGCTTCCAACCAAATGGAATGTTACATACTTGATACGTATTATCTTCATAAAAAATAAGAAACTTTGTGTTTTTATTTATGAATTTAATCATTTATTATTTTTCAACGGTGGAATGTTCCACTAACAAACAATTTCAATGAATTCAAAAAAATAAGAACTGGGTACAGAATTTTATTTTATTTTATTCACGTAAATAAAGAGCATTTGTTGTTAATTTTGAATATTGCAGAAGTTACAATATCAGGAATATCAAAATGAGAATTCATTTTATTGGAATTGTTCTATATGATTCATGAATTTCCCTTTCTGACATAACTGACAAGTAATATGAAATGCATTAAAATTTTTAAAATGTACTACTAGACTCAGAGCAAAAAACAATCTATATTTAGTCAACAAAATAAGTATGTTACAATCTTGGTAGCCATAAAAACTGTATTATGTATCTATCATATAGTCAAGTGTGATAATAAAGACTTTTGTGTGAGAGTCCATAGAAAACTTAACCTTGTATATTTTAGGTAGAGGAATTTGTTCCCCTAGTTATTACACAAATAAAATACATAGTTTTGTAATTCTGTGACAGAGTTGAGAAGCAGAACAGATGAAAGATGTATTTGCTCTTTCTTCTGCTGCAGCGGAAAATAACTGTATGTAGTTTGAAGTTGAACCTTTTGCCAACTGAATATATCTGTATCTCTCAACGTTAGAAGTATGTAGGTTAAAGTTGACCTTTGAACCACATTCTTGATTTTTACAGCTTCTAAGACAATTTCAGGTTGATTTATGTTAACTATTCTTAGAAAACATGATTTCTGTCTTTGAGCCACTGCAGCAGACCCAGTATAAGTCTGGACTGTTAGGTTCTCACTGATTTCAAACATCAGTTTTGTTGTTTGCACAGTTTGTTTTGAAAATGAGTTTCTTGTAAGAATAAAAATATTCAAGCACATAAAGAAACTGAAGCAATATTTTCTGTCTGAGCTGTTGCCATTATTCTTGATGAGTTTCTCGTGTTGCAGCGTACAGAACATTCGTCTCCAGCTCTTTCTCGTCTGACAACCTTGTGTAGTTTTTTGCTTTGGGATGTGATTTCAGCGCTGCATAGTTGAGACAGTCAGGGTCCAGATTCTGTAAAAGATTTACCTGTTCAAATAACTTTTAAAGTAATTGCAACATACAGAGACTTACATCCATCACAATGTGATTACCTCAGAGGGCTGTGGATTCTTTCTCTCTGTTTGACCTGAATGACAGAAACAGTTCCTCTGGTCAGCTACTGGTTTAAAACTTCAGTTATTATAAAATAATGCTGAAATGAAACCATAGTAACCTGATTGTATTGTCCTGATTTTGACAGCCAAAGCAACAATGACGACTGTAAGGAAGACGGCAACACAGCCAAGGATCATACAAGGCAGATTGAGTAATCTGTCTGAAACGTCTGAGGAAAACATGAACGGATAACATATTAGCAACATTCAACTAAAAACAGAATAAAACTGATAATAAATGCAGCATTTATAACATCCATCTTACCTTCCACCTGTAAGTGTGTTGCAGTGAACACTCCAGGGACTGCTGCTCCTACTGCTGCTATATAGAGTCCACAGAAATACAGTCCAGAATCTGAGATATTCACGTCTCTGATTGTCAGAAAGAGGTTTGTGATGTTTGTTGTCATATTATATTTACTGAAGTGGAAACCATCAAATAGAGAAACATTAGACTCAGCACTGAGCATGGATGAGATGCGGCTGGCGTTGGGACTGCTGTTCATCTTAAACCAAGATATGTGAGATAAAACTTCACTCAAGTTGCTGCACATCAGTGTGACGTCTTCAGCAGGCCGAACAGAAACTGTGAGAAACTGACAAACTGACACAGAAATCCAACCTGAAACAGATCGGCAGGGTTTTCTTTAATGTTTCAAACTAAGTTTATAAAAGATGACAGAAACGATGATACTTAGAAACAAACTGATGTAAACAAGTAGAGCCTGATGTACTTACTGAAGGTGCAGAGTGAAGCCAAGATGAAGTTCATCATTGTGAGCGCAGTAAGACTCCACCAGTTAAATGTTAGTGGCTGAACTGTGCTCCAGTTTATAGCGCTCTCTATAAAGGAGGTGGAGTGTTAGTTTGGTTATTTGGCTGTTCACATTAACTCTGAGAACGAGTTTAGAAAATAAAAACTAATAAATATTAAGTGTATTCAGGGGATATTAATAATATTTTAAAATTAGAAGTTAAGTAGTTTTTTAAAGAACTTCATACAGTGTAAAAAAATAAAAATCATGCCAATCATTCCTTGCCATTTATATACACTTTGACAATAAAAAATTCCTTTTTTTAGCTCGATATATTCTATCCATGTTGATCATTGTTTTACTTGAGAGGACAATAGTGATGTCAGATTTTAAATGCTATTTTTATATTAGTTGATTAAGGGAATCAGATGAGTTTTTGTATAATGTGTGTAAATCTTACCTGACAAATGATGATTACCAAATAATTGTTGGAAACACCGGCACATCAGTGGAGACAGATTAAACGTTCCCCTGCATCAGTTTTGATGATCTCAACAATCTTTCAAGTCTGAAAGTACAAAACCGTCAGTTTAACCACTTTGATGTGAAAAGTTCAGACTGTCAGATGTAACTAGATATGTAAAGTTTAACACATGTAAATGTTCTTTGTTTCTAAAGTCTAATCGCTACATCCAGGATCATCAGTGGACCTTTAGTAGGACCTGACAGACTCCCTGCTGAACCTTCTGTAGTTGATTTACAGAGCAGACAGGTTGGCAGGTGATGCTGTCAGCCTGGGGCTACGCTTCATTCTCTGTCCTCTTCTCCTTATACCCAGATGACTGGACCTCAGTGGACAGTGATGAGTCCACATACAGACCAGATGTCCATTGGCCTGAGATGGTCCTCACACCCTGTTTGGTAGAACAAACAGGCCTGTGGCTGAACGTCCTGCAGCAGCTCAGGACAAACCACCTCCCACAGGAAGTACTGATCGTTATGCAGCCATTATTCAGTCTGTCCTGTGTTCACACATCTTTATCTGGTTTTGTTCAGACACAAAACAGGAAAAGTTCAAACTGCAATGAATAATATGATCATCATCAGATCTGACCCTCCCTCCATCCAGTACTTGTACTATGGGGATGTGGGTTTCTGTGTGTGTTCATTGGATAATTTAGTCCCTGTGTTGTCTTATCCAGCCGTCTCTTGTTCTGAATATTCCCTTGTGTATTTAACCTCACCTGTGTCCTCTGCTCCCTGCTGGATCCTTGTCTTTGTCAAGTCATTGGTTCCCTTCCTGAGTCTGTGTTCATGTCTCGTCTCTAACCTGTGTTTCCTGGTTTTGAGAACTTTGAGGACTAAAATAAACTCTTTTCTTTACTTCACTCTGGGTCTCACTGCGTTCATCCTCACCATCAACAAACCACTTCCTGACATGTACAGATCTAGGATCAGGAAAAGGGCGGCTAACTTTTGTGCAGATCCCACACATCCTGGATAAAAAAACAGCTTAGACTTTTATCTTCAAGTTGTGTGTCAGAGCGCTTTTTTTTTTTTTTTTTCTAAAACCAGCCATCACAGAGATAGTTTCTTCCCCAGACTGTCTGAATGAAGAACAAATACAGTCTGAGTAATCAGCTACTCCATCGTGAAACAACATAAGCATATTTGTACTACCACAATCTCTTTCCTTCCTTTTTTCTTTCTTTCTTTGTTTCTTTCTTCTTTCTTTTCTTTCCCCTTTTCTTTATTTATTTTCTTCTTCCTTTTTTCTCTCTTACTTTTTACTTCCATTTTCATTTCTTTCTTTTTCTCCCTTTAAAAAATCATAATTCAAATTCAAAAGTATTTTATTGATCCCAATAGGGGAAATTAAATAAAAAACAAATAAAAATTGGTTATACAGTCATAAACATGTACATATTACTTCCATTTATGTTTTATTTTGTTTCCTCTGAGGTTTATATATTTGTACCTAATGTCTGTACATCATGACAGCATGAAACAATAGTTGATATCCTTGATTGTCCACACAATTTTGGTTAAAAAGCTGAATCTAATTGTAATATTGACATTTGTTTTACATTTTAAGTTGAACATGCAAAGACAGGGTGTGGTGGGGTTAAACACAACCCACATATGGAGGCCTTAGTCCTTGACGTGGCCGTCGCTGGTTCGATTCCCGGTCTGGTGACCTTTGCCACATGTCTTCCCCCCTCTCTCAATACCCACTTTCCTGTCTGACCACTTTCAAATAAAGGCCGCTAGAGCCAACAAAACTTTCAAAAAAAAAAAAGAACATGTAGAGACGAAACACACAGAAACAAGTTCTTCTCCTTCTGATTGGTTTTTGAAGCAACACATTTTAATAAGTGTACAGCCAGTGGTGAGGCGCAGCTCTCTAGTAGTACAGCAGAGGTTTTGTGTGAAGTTGGTTGAGAAGGCAGATCACATGGCTGGAGCAGCCGCTCTCACTTTCATCATGAACATCACAGTAAAGGATGAAAATGGCTCTTATTCTAAACAGGAAAAATAGATTTAACAAACTAAGCTACATTACAGTCTTGGTAGCTGTGCAGTAGCATCTACACATCTTGCTGTTCACAACAGTAACATGAGATAAAGACTTTTTTCATGAAACGTTATGCTGAACATAAGAATAGCTGAAAGCTGCCACTGTGGTTGATACTGAGAACCTTTTGCCAACTGAGTGTATCTGTATCTCTCAATGTCAGAGTTAATAATAGGTATGTAGGTTAAAGTCGATTTTTAAACCACATTCTTGACTTTTACAGCTTCTGAAAGCTGTAAAAGATTTAATCTGAAGTGTGTAAGATGCAGTGAGACCACAATATGGTAGACGTTCTTGGTAAAAATGATTTCTGTCTTTGAGCCACTGCAGCAGAACCAGTATGAGTCTGGACTGTTGTGTTCTCACTGGTCCTTCTGATTTCAGACACCAGTTTGTTAGTTAGCTCAGTTTGCTTTGAAAATGGGTTTCATGTAAGGACAAAATATTCAAGCACATATAGAAACGGAATCATGTCTCTCACTTTGAGCTGCTGACATTATGCTACTGTCTTTATCTTGTAGCAGCATAAAGAACATTGTCTTTCAGCTCATTCTTGTCAACTGCTCTTCGTTTGCTCTTGGCTTTGGGACGGATATGCAGCGCTGCATAGTTGAGACCAACAGGATCCAGATTCTGTAACAGAGTTATTTTCCTTTAGAAAGTTGCTTAGCTTTCTTAAAGATTTACAGCAAACAAACTAAGTCCATCACAATGTGATTACCTCAGAGGGCTGTGGATTCTTTCTCTCTGTTTGACCTGAATGACAGAAACAGTTCCTCTGGTCAGCTGTTTGTTTAAAACTTCAGTTATTATAAATTACTGCTAAAATGAAACCATAGTAACCTGATTGTATTGTCCTGATTTTGACAGCCAAAGCAACAATGACGACTGTAAGGAAGACGGCAACACAGCCAAGGATCATACAAGGCAGATTGAGTAATCTGTCTGAAACGTCTGAGGAAAACATGAACGGATAACATATTAGCAACATTCAACTAAAAACAGAATAAAACTGATAATAAATGCAGCATTTATAACATCCATCTTACCTTCCACCTGTAAGTGTGTTGCAGTGAACACTCCAGGGACTGCTGCTCCTACTGCTGCTATATAGAGTCCACAGAAATACAGTCCAGAATCTGAGATATTCACGTCTCTGATTGTCAGAAAGAGGTTTGTGATGTTTGTTGTCATATTATATTTACTGAAGTGGAAACCATCAAATAGAGAAACATTAGACTCAGCACTGAGCATGGATGAGATGCGGCTGGCGTTGGGACTGCTGTTCATCTTAAACCAAGATATGTGAGATAAAACTTCACTCAAGTTGCTGCACATCAGTGTGACGTCTTCAGCAGGCCGAACAGAAACTGTGAGAAACTGACAAACTGACACAGAAATCCAACCTGAAACAGATCGGCAGGGTTTTCTTTAATGTTTCAAACTAAGTTTATAACAGATGACAGAAACGATGATACTTAGAAACAAACTGATGTAAACAAGTAGAGCCTGATGTACTTACTGAAGGTGCAGAGTGAAGCCAAGATGAAGTTCATCATTGTGAGCGCAGTAAGACTCCACCAGTTAAATGTTAGTGGCTGAACTGTGCTCCAGTTTATAGCGCTCTCTATAAAGGAGGTGGAGTGTTAGTTTGGTTATTTGGCTGTTCACATTAACTCTGAGAACGAGTTTAGAAAATAAAAACTAATATTTCATGTTATCTGAGGGCATAATTCTTTATTTTAATTTGAAGATTTGCAAACATTTAAATAACTTATACTGTAAAAAAGAAAAATAATACCCTTTACCAAAATTACAAATTTACATTTACATGTCTAATGTTTTTTTGGTGTCTATTAATAAAACTGTAGCTTAAAATGTTTTGTCCATGTTGATCAATGTTTTACTTGAGAAGGCATAATGAAAATAATTTAAGTTATTAAATACTATTTTTTTAACAGCTAAATAATATTTTATTGATTTGGTGATCAAATGTGACATTATTACTGAAAGTGTTTAAGGTTTACCTGTCAAATCAAGGTTCTTTAAAAAAAAAAATTGTTATGGTCGCATTCATGCCATGGTGGAAACAATTTAAACTTTCACCGGCATAAGTTTTGACGTTCTCAATGATCTTTCAAGTCTGAAAATATGAAGCCTTCAGTTTAACCACTTTGATGTGAACGGTTCAGACTGTTAGATGTAACTAAGTTGTCTGACATTTAGAGGTTTGAAGTTAATCTGCCACTGTCAAGTCAGGTTTGAAGAAGCTTCTTACTTGTTCCTGTTCTTACTGAAGTGTCTTAATTTAATCATTCATAATAGTTTCCAGTTGTGAAGTTCCACTGTAACTCCAGAAACATTACTTTTTAAATTGCTTAAAATTAAAACCAATTAAAAAATAGTATTTTAGGGATGCTGTGATGGCTCAGGGGCAAAGCATGACCCACATATTGAGGCCTTAGTCCTTGTGGCAGCCGCAGGTTCGATTCCTGGCCTGGTGACATCGGCTGCATGTTTTCTCCCTCTCTAATGACCCTGTTTCCTGTTGAACTACTTTCAAATAAAGGCCTCTAGAGTCAACAAAACCTTTAAAAATTGCTTTTAATATTGTTATCCACTCAGCCAATAATTTAGATGTGTACAATATATTGTAAATGTGTGTAAATGTGCACTACCTTCATATACAAGTGATGTTACAGTTGCTATATTATTGGCATTTATCTGGGTGGGTATAGAGTGCAAAGTTCCTCGAACTAGACTGGAAAAATGAATAACTGAACAATTTGTTGTCTGATTTAAGACAATAGGGAGCAAAGATATGGGAGTCCATGTCCTGGTTGTGCAGATTGCAGTAGTTAATGGGTACAGAGTGGGTGACCAGCTAAACAGCTTGTTTTAACAAAATGTGATTGATTTGGAAGGAAGATCATGAAAATGTTTTGTTGAAATCTAAGCGTTTGAAGTTAGAACCTTTTTCTAGAAAAAACAATAAAAATCTTATTGTTGGAGAATTGAAGGGACAGTTCTGGTTCTTGTATTTTCTTAAGACCTCTTCAACAGCAAATGAACATACAGAAAAATAATCAGTGACATTAACCTGGTCAAGAATCTTCACTTCATCAACAACTGAGTTTAGGTTGGGGTTGATATACTGGTTACTGGTGATGGTTAGGTTTTAGGGTTAGGATTAGACTATAGAAATTAATGAAAAATGAGTGGAAGTCAATGCAAAGTCATGAAGATAGAAAGACATATTATGCATATTGAGGGGTGAATGTGGGGCAAGTTGAATGAGTGTGCATGTGTGTGTGTGCATGTGCATGTGTGTGTGTCTACTTATTATTCTACAGATGAAGGACCACTTCTGCAGCATTTACCAACAGAGAGAGGTCCTTTGTGGACACCGAGGACCTTTTCTGTATCCTCACTGTTTTTGCAGCTCTGCTTCGCTCTGCTAGTTTGATTTTATGGTAAAGTGTAAATTAAGTTTCGGTTAAGGTTAGGAATAGAAATGTAACTGTTTGAGGAAAATGACTGGGACTAGGTATAAATTAAATCACTAAAATGAATGGAGGTCAATACAAAATTCACAAAGATCACCTTGTGGGGACAATCACTTTTGATGGGATAAAAATAATTTACCTCATGTTACAAAATGCTTTTTTGTTTTGAAGTCAAAACATTAAAAAAAACTATGACAGTGGGATGGTAGGAGTGATTTAACATTGTCTGGGACACACTTTAAAGAATTAGTGTCATGTCTGTTAGTCTGTCTGTGGTGTGCGTGTGTGTGGGTGTGTGTGCGTGTGTGTGAGGTCTCTGGATGCCTCCTCTTTCTTTCAGTTGCTCTCAGACCACACTCTGCTGTCTCTTCCTGCCAATGTATCTCACTCCTCACATTGTCTTATTGAGGAAGTCCAACAATCTGACTCCTCCTTCAGTTCAACACCATTCTGTGCTGTGTGACAAAAAGAAGACAAACCAAGAAAATCTAACTTTGATGGTTAACAGAAATAAAGAAAGCCACGCTGAGACGGAGATAAACTGAACACCTTAACAGAGTTCTTGATGACATAAAATACACATTATAATTCTTTTTTTTATTTTTACTGTACACTCATGTTACATACGGATGAACCAAAATATCAGTAAATTAATGTGATAGAATCTGTTTTATTGTCTGCTGCAGTTCCTGTTGCTTCCTGAGTCTATCGGGTGGCAGCGTACACAACATGTGGCTCCGGTTCCCTCTGAGGTCCAGATCTGTGACTTTTTTTGGCCTTTGCTTGGAAACTGAGAGCTGCGTAGTTCAAATCATCTGGATCCACATTCTGAAACCCAACAAGAAAAAAATGACCATATGATAGTCAAACGGGGATTGATGTGAATTAGGTATCATAAAGTTTATGATGACTTGATTATTGAAACATAAAGTTTCAAAGATAAAACTTGATGTATAAAAGTAAAGTAAATAGTTGAATAGCCTTAGTGCATTAAAATTTCAGACTATATTGAAATAAGACAATATTCAACTGTTTGAACATAAATTCATGTTGTTGTTTTTCTTTTTATTAAAGGAAACACGACAAATTGGGCGGAGCTTCTTCTTCAGTCATTCTTTTGTGAACCGTTAATCTTTCAGTCTGAGTTTTGAGATTTTGTTTTTGTTGTTTTAACTGAGTCACAATTATTATTCAGACTACGGACAAATCTTTCTGCCATCCTCCAGTCCAGTGAAAGTTGCTAACAGTTGAATTAATCTGTTTTACACATTTATTCACAATTAGCCAAGAAACATCTGAACACTAACTGCATTATCGGCAAATGTCCAAAAGCAACTAATGCAACAACTCTTAGTCTGTGCTACGCTCTAATGAAAAAACTTAATTTGCCTTTTTATGTGTTTTCAAAGCTATTTTTAAAGATAAAAATAGCTTTGTTTTGGGGAAAGCAGTTTGATTTGTTATAATTAGTGTCGTGCAGCAGTACTAGGTTAGATTTCAGCAATAGAAGCAGCAAATCGCACCTAAAATGAAAGTTATATTGTTGAGCTTAAAATAAATGGACAACTGTGGAACTAAAGAGCTAAAGAGGAAGAGAAACTGCAATATTTAAAATATTTATGCAGTTTCAGTTAAATTACTCAGTTTACCTTGTTTCTTTCTTTTTGCAGCTTTAAGCTTGAAGCTAAAAAGACAAATGGAAAAGTTTGGTTAGTTAATTACTGATTTCATATTTATTATTCTGTTCTAAATTATTTTAAAATAAGTTGTACAATAATATAATCAAACTGTACCTCTTTCCAGTCTCCTGTTTTTAACAGCCAGAACAACGACTGTTACAGAGAGAAGAGCAGTCAGAGCACCTAAAATCCCAGGCATCAGGTCCATCAGTTGGTCAGCAGCTTCTGTAAATATTTACATATTAAAGTGGGATTTTTTACTGCAGTAAAATCCAGGGAACTCTTCTAAGACAAATAACTTACTTTTATTATCAGAATCCTCCTCATCTTTGGAGTCTTCATGAGCTGAAAGTGCAGATGATATTTTTAGTCAGTTATTTCTTTTTTTTTAATTTTGCAATAACTTGGTATTTCAACAGCGACATTCTCAGATTGTTAAGGTACACAGAGTCAGACTTACCTTTAATGATTAACTCTGTTGCACTGCCAACAACTGTATGTTTCTTTCTATAAAATCCACAGAAATACAATCCAGAGTCCATCAGGTCCACTTGTTTGATGTGAAGAAAGACAGTCGTCACGTTGGAGCTCATGTTAAATTTTTCACTTTGGAATCCATGGCAGTACGAAGCTTCACCTTCAGGACCGTACATGGAGGAGATGCAGCTGGGTTTGGTTCCATTAATCACTCTGAACCAGTCTGTCTGGGTTGGAGATGAAGAAAGGTTGGAGCAGAACAGAGTGATGTCCTCACCAGGATGAACCTCCACAGTTAGAGACTCACAGATCCAACCTGAAACAAGCAGATTCAACTGTAAGACGACAAAATAAATCAGTAAGAATGGAATCCTGATTCACATGTTAAAGTTAAAGAACACACAGTTAAAATGGAGTCCACGATGAACATGATTTAATATTTTACCTACTTTGGCTGCAGAGCAGTATAGCTGTTATCTGCATGAAGTTCTCCATTCTGCATACAACAATGTCTCAGTTTGGCCGCTTCTTATGTAGGGGGATTTATTAGAAAGGGGAGTGGTGAACAGTTCACTTCACGTCAAAAGGCTTTTGTTTTTCTTGACCAAACTTTAGCTTTAGAAATATGCAATTTCAACTTCAATTTAAACAAATAAAAGTATTTAAATACCATTGGTAAGCTAATTAGCCATTTTAATTATTGTCAAATATTAACTATCGTACGGCAACCTGTCATTCTAAAGCAGTCTCATGAAGAGGATGTTCAGGGTTGTCCATAATTATTGTGATTTCTTTGGGACAGTCCTTCATCTCCACCATTATTTCCAGAGGTTCCACAGCAGTCCACTGAACAGAACCAGCCTTATTCATCACTCTGTTTAGGTTTTTTAAAATGTCCAATCTGATGCTGCTGCCCCAACACATGATGGCAGAAAAGATTACACTTCCCATATCAGACTTATAGAAATCTGCAGCACCTTGTTGCAAACTTTGAAGCATCCAAGAACCATCTGAGTATTTTTGCATATAAAATGACTCTGACTTGTGTTTTGAAGTGTAGAGAGTAAGAAGAAATGGTGAGAGCACAGTCCCCTTTGGTGCTGCTGTCCATCTGCCTGTAGACAGCCATTTAGTCTTATAAACTATGGTCTATTTATCAGGTAGTTATTGATCCAGATGGTCTGGTCATCGATCCAGAGAGACAAATCAGGCTTTGGCCAGCTGGGTTTGGACAAAGTTAAATAGACTGGAGAAATCACAAAACAAGACAATCACTCTGCTGCATGCTTTGTGATTTTGTTGGTGATTATGAAGTAGGTGTATTATGTAGTGTGGTGTCCTGGCTTAATGCCTTATTTATGTATTAGTTGTGTTACCACTGCACACCACTGGACATATAGGCGACTTCAACTCCAACACCAAAGCCATAAGTAACTTTCAGGGGTCCTGATATATGTTGGTTTGCTGACTCAGATGGGCCAACAGGAATCTCTCTGAGACCTTCATAAAGTGGGATGTTGGGACAAGAGATCTGTTATCGTTGATGAGAAATGGATGAGACTTCTGGAACCACAACATTGGAACCTTCTCCTGGGTCAGGCTAAGATATGTCAAAAACACCATCGCCTCTATATGGTAAATTGCTTTTACTTAATCAAGTCCAAAGAAACCCAGAGAACTTCACATTATAGTCAAAGTTTTACCCATTTATTCACACCCACATCCAACTGCCATGGGACAGTCTAACATAGGAAAAGCTGCCATGAAGTGGCACCACTGGACCCTCTGACCACGAGCAGCAGGCAAGGCAGGTGAAGCATCTTGCCCAAGGACACAACAACATAGGCGGACAGAGCATGGGATTGAACCGGCAACCCACCAATTACAGGATGAACTCTCCATCCATCATCTGGAAAATGATATTTTCCAGTTTGACACAGGTGTCAAACTCCAGTCCTGGAGCCACTGCCCTGCAACTTTTAGATGTGCCTCTGCTGCACCACACCTGAATAGAATAATTAAGCAGGACTCTGGAGAACTGATCTACACAAGAAGGAGGTAATTAAGCCATTTCATTCTAGTGTTTTGTACCTGTGGCACATCTTAAACTGCAGGACAGCGGCCCTTGAGGACTGGAGTTTGTCACCCCTGATATACACAATCAGAATCTGATTAGAGCCTTTCATCAGCCTGACTCTGCTTTCTGTATTGAGTCCAGGAAGCAGAGGGTAGATGCCCTTCATATCCTTGTTAAACTATGTTTAACAGACAAGCTTAGCAGCTGTAAACATCTGTCTCATTATCCGAGAAGCCAAGTTTATAAAATAAACTGCAAAGTTTAATATTTTTTAATTGTCTAACCTCAATTCATTTTGGTGCAGAAAACCATCTCTGTGTTTTGTTTTGTTTTTTTTTTTTTTAGGGTAGGCTACGCCTCCTGCTGGCACAAATAAATAATTGCATTTGATAAAGTATCCACTGATCTGTTGTGACACTGTAAATATGTTAAAAGTGTCAAAAATCTCATCGCTTCTGATGTGCATCAGTCTTGGAAGCTTTTTCTAAAACTCTACATTAAAACTGCTTCTTTCACTTGAGCTTTTCTGAAACATCACTAGATTCATTATTCAAGTGGAGTTTGCTGCTGCTTTGGGTCTGACTGCTGGACTTGTGACTGATTTCACATGGTGTTTGTCAAATATTTTCGTGAAGCGGGGATATCATTTTAAATTAGTGACAGTAGAAGGACCTGGAATACAGATGAGTTGAGGGTCGGGCCATTTCTTCAGACAACTGATGGGGAATGTGATGCACAGCCACACTTGAGAGGGTTTTGACTGCATCCAGATAAGATTAATAAATCAGACAAACTGAATATCACTTAATATAGCTGAAGCTCTGTGAGGACAGCACCCGTTGTTCCAAAGAAACCAACAAACTCATAATCTGGTTTTAATGGAGTAACTTTATTGCAACACTTTATATTTCAAACTGTGATGAAATTCTATTAATTCAACATATTTCAGAAACAGTTGAGGCATATGGTTGCGCTCTAGCGCTTCACACTGGAATAGACACATTCTCTGAATGCTCCATCCGTCTTTGTTCTTGCTATGTTGGTCTTTTGATGACTTACAGAAGCATATTGGAGGTTTTCTCCATCTTGGGATTCCTGGGGACAAATATGTAGCACAACAGATGCTCGGTAAAAAAAAAAGAGTAAAAAAGGACTTCAGAATGAACAAAATGTATTATTCCATTCCCCTTCTTGCTAGTTGCTTCAGAAACTATTTGAAACTATTCTTACCTGCATATTTGGGTAAGGAGTTGTTGAAGATATTTCAGTGGGATCTGTATGTAAAACAGAACGAGAATAGTTTCACTTTGAAGCTTACAGAGTATTTTATCTGAATTTCAAATGGCAACACACACCTGCATGCTGCCTTTTGTTCATTTTGAAGACTGAGAAGGCCAGTGTAGCTGCCAGCAGGGTGGTGAATGTCAGAGCTCCACTCAGGAGATAAACCAAGACAAGAGAGAAACGTTCACCTGCAGAGAAACACGAACCAATAAGCAACTGGCTACTGTAGTACAAATTTCACTAATTTCACACCCATCTTGGTGCCTCAACGCTCTTCAGCCTCCATTCATTTAATTTAGGTGTTATGGAGAAAGGATGTGTCCAGAACTTCCAGGGTACTGGATCTCAACATCTGGAGTTGACCACTCCTTATAAAACTAGAGATCTGATAATACAAGAGATTTTTTTTTTTTTTTTGTACAGATAAAGGTTTTAAAGAGTCTTTTGGTCTATTTTCAGAAAACTCTTGAAGAAATTAATTTCTGTTACCAGTTCTGATAATCTTGTAAAAATCCATTTCAGAAGTTGTAAAGGCTTCTAAGTTCAGTTAATCTCTATTTTTGGAAAACTTATCAGGATACATTTCATTATCAAGTCTAGAAGATGAAATGCATCCAATTGTATTTTATTATTTTTTTTGTTGCAGAAAAAAAGACAAATGAAACCTAGATGAGGAAAGAACAATCTGAATAATGTGAGAAGCAGGATTGTCTGAAAATCTTTGATTCAAGAAGAACAAGTATTTGTGGAAATGAAAAACGACTCACCTTCAGAGTCCAGCTTGGTTCTGTTTCCAAACAGTATTTCTCCACAGGAGGCAACAGCACAGTAGGTCCCATTAGGGTCCTTCATGGGCATGTTGTACACACAGGTGTGTGTTTGTGTGCTGGGATCACTCCTATTCTCCTGAGTGTAAATGAGTCCAGGATGGGATTCTTCAGAGTTTCTGAACCAGTAAGCACTGTGTTGTCCACCACAGCTCCCGGTTTGTACCATACATTTCAGACTCACAGAGTCTCCTTGCTTGATGTTCTCAGATTCTGACTGATGGACCAAAGTCTCTATAGTAGAACCTGAACCTTTTACGCTGAGTGTAGTTCCTTCACAAAATTCATAGTCGTTTAAATTGCTCCGTACACAGTGGAAAGTCGCAGCATCTGAAATCTTCACATCTGATATCTTCAGCACAACGTTCCTGTGATTTCCAGTGTCCAGCGAGAAACGAGAGTTGTTGAACTCCTCTTTAAAGACTGCAGTGTTGGTATGTTTGTACAATGTACACATGAGCTTCGGTTCCTGTCCCAGAATTTGTTTGTACCAGTAAAACATCACCGCTGAGTCATCTTGGCAGAGGCATTGTAAAACAGCGTTGCTTCCAACATCTACTGAGTAAACAAGTGGCGATCTCTGCGTCAAGTCTGTCGAATGAGCTGAGGACAAAAAATTCACAAAATTAAGGATTTACTTTTACTTAAAGAACTTTGTGTCGCAGTGTTTGCATGACAAGAAGCAAAGATTCTTGTTAAAAGTTCAAGATAAAGCAGCTGCAGAAGCAAACTTACCCATAGTCACCACAAGCAGAGTTGCTGCGTACAAAGCCAAGGTTCGAGAAGTCATTGCACTTTAAAATGCAGCGGTGGAAGAGCTGAAGGTTAGTACGTTCACCCCTCTTTAAACTTAAGACTGTTTCTGATTGGCCCATCAGAGTTACAGTCTACTTCTGAACACATTTTCCGTGCCACCTACCTGAGCAACTGATATGTCTTGAACCCTGGACAGACCACACAAGTATTACATTTATATCTCATTTATTATTTAACCACTTCAGATTAATGCCCTTAAACTTTGTTGAATTTGTCTCAGTGATGATTTTATGACACTAGTGAGCTATATTGACTGTAACCAGACAGAAAAGAGGGGAAGAGACCAGCAAAGGTCTCAAGTATTAGAACCCAGGACTATAGCCTCCGTATATGAGGAAAAATGTGGCTTTAAAGAAGGCACATTTTGTAGTTTATTAGTAACTGTACCCAATTTTGAGACACAGTTAAATATTTCAAAAGCTTTAATTGAAGAAAGGAAGGGATATAAAATATATTTACTGTCCACATTTCCAGAACTGGTTCCAATCATCAGAAATGACTGTGCCCTTACCCATGATCCAATGTTAGCTGGTACATTAGAAAGGGTCAGAGGCAACTTGAGGTTTTTCATTTTCCGAAGTGGGCAGCAGTGACAACCAC